CTTAAAACTGGTGTTAATTACATGATTTCAATTTTTCACTTATCTAAATATTTTTTACAAATTTTTTAAATTATGTTTAAGAATAACTATACCAGACGACTTTCAACTAAGTCGTCTGGACGACTTAGTTTAAAGTCGTCTGAATAGAATACTTACGAGGTTAGACGACTAATAATTAAGTCGTCTGAAAAATCTTCCGGCTGGATGACTTTCCAGACGACTTAAAATATTAGTCGTCTACAAAGTTGTCCAGGCTTTTTGAGTATGTTTTAAGAATTTGTGTTAGAATTTGTGTTAGACTTCTTAGACGACTAATAATAAAATTGGTGTTACCATGGTTTTGTACATAGAGGACAAAAGGAGTTGTAGTTATAAAAGTTGATCATCCATTACAAGTCATAGGTTTAAAAACAATTTGAAACAAGGGAACAACAACATAGAAGTCATCCATTATAAGTCCACTAGAAGCAGATTACAATAAGACGATAGCAAGACAAACATCCATCATTTAGGAAGAAACGAGAAAGTTGAGGCACCATCCGCAGCATCATCCCCTTGAGGAGGTGTATACTGAATCTCAGTAAAACTAGGACCGAAAGGAGTCACATGAAATACCATATCTCATTCCTTTTTGAACACGAGAATGTCACCGATGCAAAGGGAATGTGCTTGGGCGAAGGCTTCCCAACCATCGGTGAGTCTTCTTCCTTCTTGTATAACTTCCCAAGTTTGGTGTGAAGCGTCCGATCGTAGTCTCCATTTTCCTTGGTTCGCCGTGCCTTCTATGTGTTTTGCGTAGAAGGCAAGTGGTATTGTCTACAAGTCAACAAAGGAGAAGATAAGCAAAGGAAATAAAAGGAGGAGAAATAGAGAGCGTATGTATACCACGCCACTGTAGAAACCAGGAAGCAGAGGCTTCAAGAAGTGGGCTTCATGCTGATTCGCCATCTGCAAACAAGAAACGAATTGAAACATTTTAATTCTAATTCGTCCGGGTCGTCCAACTGGTAGACTTATAATTAAGTCGTCTGGAAAGTCTTCCAGGTGGAAGACTTTCCAGACGACTTAATTATAAGTTTACCAAGACTTCCAGTAGAACTTCCAGGTGGACGACCCTAAAATGACCGTGAAATGAGGGGAAAACAACATCCAACCTAACTAAACAACAAGTCCATTGAAATCCCCAATTTTTGAAACTCTAATTTGAAACCAAAATTACCCCAAATCGTTGAAAACACAAAACCAAACGGTAAAAGTTAAGGAAAACAACATCCATCCTAATAAAAACCCATAAATCTGCAAAAGAAGTTCGATTTACCTTGGTCTTGTATCGGATCGAAATCGCCTCGAAATCACCTTTGAGAGAAACGGCGTTAGGGTTTTCTGAATTTCGCGAAAAGTGCGTAAAAAAAAATCTTCTTATATATGTCCGGTAAAAAATCTGGTTAGGTTTAAAAGTAATTTGGTAAAATCCGGTTTGGACGACTTATTATTAAGTCGTCTGTTGATACTATACACCCAACTAAGTTGTCTGCCTTATTAAATATATTTACCAGACGACTTGATTATAAGTCGTCCAGACCCTAAACCCTAAACTAAATTGACTAAATTAACTACTAACCATGTTATAAAATCAAATTATACTTAAATAGTGTTTACTATACACAGAAATAAACACACTTAGGTAAATTTTAAAGTTTTCAAAAAAACATTTATGCTTTCGAATTTCTAACCCTAAGAAACACATACAATACTACAACATATGTTGGTGAAACCTAAACTAAAGAATATCATCACTCACTACTTTCACTCATCTATGCTGAAAACAACTGACTTTTTATATCTTAATTTATATCGCTTAAGACATATGTTAATTACATAATCCCAATTTTTCATTTATCAAGATATTTATTACACAATTTTTAAATTATTTTTAAGAAAAACTGTCTTAGACGACTTGCGAGGGCTAAAAACGTAAAAAAAAAGACTCTTTTTTTGTTTGTTCACAAGGGGTGGGTTGTAATTTCAACAGCCTTTTTAAGTTACTTTTGCATTTGATTCAAGTTTTGGTTTATTTTTGCATTTCAAATCAAGTTTTGAGTCATATTTGGCAATTTTCCCTTTTAATTTTATACCACTTTTAAGTCAAAACTTAAAAATGTCTATCATGTAACATTACAATTTATGTCACTCATTTTTAACACAAAGCTAATAATCTTATTAATGGTTAAATTTTAATTTACACCCCAGTAATAGATGAAACATTTGACATATTCCAACCATAGTGAAACACAAGGGTAATATTCTCATTAATGATTCAATTTTAATTTACACCCTCACTCATAAAGGAAACATTTGACATATTCCAACCATACGTGAAGCACAAATCTAATAATTTTATTAAAGGTTAAATTTAATTTATATCCCACTCATAGATGAAACATTTGACATATTCCAACCATAAGGGAACCAGCTATATATACAAAATGAATATATACATTTCAACCATATGTAAATCTAAGCTAACTTTTATGAATATTCCAAAATTATAAATAAAACAAAAATTTATGTAAAATAGTATTTTACATAATAATATTTTTAAAATAAGTTTCGTTATAAAAGTAAAATATTATAAAATTTTATAGTAGTAATATTATAAACCACATATTATAGAGTTAGACAATACATAACACTAAACTATACTCCATCCGTTTCAATTTAGTTGTATTTTTGAGTTTTTGCACACAAATTAAGAAAAATATTAATTTTGTATATTCTCTATATAAAATCACTACTCCCTCCGTTTCAGTTTATACGTCGTTGTAGAGAATTTTTTTTTGTTTCAAAATAAGTGTCGTTTTATAATTTCAATGTAGAATATATTGACTTTATCTACTATTATATTTTTCTATTGGTTGAAATGTGGTTAGTGTATAGGTAATTGTGTTTTTTAGAAAATATGTAAAATTAAATGTTTTCTTAATATGTGTGGAAAAATCCAAAACGACAACTAAACTGAAACGGGGGAATATTAACTATACACCTAATCACATTTCAACTAATGAAAAAATAGAAAATCATATAAAGTTAATAAATTTTGCATTTTAAGTATAAAATGACACTTATTTGAAACGATAATTTTACCCTACGACATATAAATTAAAACAGAGAAAATATTAATTTATTAATAGATTTTGATATTGAAATTAAAATATTTTAATACAGAAAAAAACTCGTGCAGACGTGCATGTCGAGATCTAGTAACATTTATGTGAAATCGTTGTAACTGTTTTTTAGATGTCCAAACATAAAGATATAATCTCAATATTTACCCCTTCCTACATCTATCTTATTAAATCATAAACATATGGTTGGACTTAACATTTATTTTGAAAATTCTTAAATTGAATACATTTTTCTACTTTATAATTAAACTTATATTAAATCATTAATATTCATTTTTATACTACTATTCATGTTTCCAAACAATATACTAATTTCTATATACTACTATCCATGTTTCCAAATAATACACCTATTCTTTATACTCCTATTCATGTTTCTAAACAACACTGTAACTATTCTTAGTCCAAATAATACAAAATATTAGATCTTACTCTTTTTAATAATTTCTCACAATATTCTTTCAAATTATTTAAATAAAATAAATAATTTAAAATTTCAAATAATATATAAAACAACAATAATATATAAAACAACAAAAATAAATAAAATTATTTTTACATGTTTAAATATTACATATTAGTTATCCATCAGTTCAATCGGTTATTCTCGGGTTTTAGTATTTTTTTTAAATATGAATATTTTTGTCCAAATTGGATTATTAGATCACCGGTTATCCGGTTTAACCACGGTTCGGACTGAATTTAAAAATAATGATTTAAATACATAAATATTTTAAATACATAAATTCTTTCAAATTACCAAAGTATTTATTAAGTTATTAATGAATTTTTTTATCAAAAATATTACGCGCTTACAAAGTTAAGACCAAATTTAAGTTTGAATTTAACCTAACCTATAAAATAAAAGTTAAAACACAATGACCTAAGATAAATTTGGTTTGGATTATATTATTTTAGACTAAAAATTCTAGAAATTTGTATATTATTTTTTAAAAAAATTTGGATATATTATTAACATCAGACGTAACTTAACTCTCAACTTATTTTTTTTACGCAAACAGTTAAGTTTAAATTTGATTTTGCACTTCGAGCAAATGTATAAAATTAGTGTTTTCACTGTACGGTTACATCAACATAATACACTGCTTGACACTATTAATACAAAAGACATTTTTGATATTATTTTTTAAATATAAAATCGAATTGGACATACTCGAAACTATATAAAACTAACTTATATAAAATACATCCGAGAAAACAAACCCGCGCGGGTGCGTGGATCATGATCTAGTTAACAATTAAAACAAAAGTAACTATGTTACACTATTTGGTTAAAATGAGATTAGTTTCTATAATTAATATTTGTATTAACGTAACGTTTTTAATCCCCGGGGTTAAAGTGAAGTATCACTAAAGTGAACTATCACCTCACGTGGACTGAAGACTCACTCCCACACTTTCCGCAAATAAACCTTGCACCACAGTCTAAACGCTAAACGCATGACCTAATTACTTTAACACTGGGCAATGTGAGCTTCTACATTACTTATCGCCATATATATATATATATATATTAACCCATTGTTTAACAATTATCCACATCTATAAAAGATCCAGACGAAGAAACAAAAGCATTAGAGATATATGAAATCAATAAGAAACGCACACAACAAAATATTGGTCAACAATCTAACGAGAGAGTTTTGTGTCCAAACTCTTACATCACACCGTCACAACAGGTAACTGAAATGTAAACCAATATTTTCTAAACGTAACATTTAAGCGTCCATACGAGAGATAGTGAAAGCAAGAGACACGTCTTAAATTCATCTTCAAACCCATTCTCCCATACGGCTAGATCTGCAAAAGTAAAAAGGATACTCAAAATTAATCACATACATAAGTATATATATAGTATATATACACACGCATGCACAACCTCCAAAATATGTTACAAGAATATCTACTACAAATGTCACAAAACACGAAGGCCAAAAAGGGGAAAAACCCCAATGAATGCTCTAAAGAAGCACAATGTGTGTATGTGTGTAATTAAATTAGATTGAGTCAACATTGTTGACCTAAGCGAAACAATATATTTCTCACATGCAAACACAGTTTTAGATCCCAATGAAGAAATAAACAAAGTTTATATAAACAAAAAAACAAAGTTTATATAACCTCTAAATAATTATTTATTTTTGTATAGTTGAACCTATAATAGATCTAGCTATTGAAGGTAAGAGAGGAAACAAAACCAGATAGTAGGAGTCTCCATATTGAAGAGGCTGAAGTGCGACGCCATATTCATCAGTGACAATGGGCTGACCAGCAGAATTGATGAGAACAACCTCTTCTCCGAATGCATCTCTCACATTGAACGGTCCTTGGCTCACTTCAAACTCCATTTCGTTGATAAACACCCTTATATTCTCCCCGGCTGTTTTCGATTTAGCCATGATTATCTCATTCTTTCATGTTAGTATCATGACTGTATGTTAACACTATCTATATCGAAAACCTCAAACAAACTTAAAAACTAATTAACATAAACTTTTTTTTATAGCTTTATATTGATCAATATGTCCCCTTCCATTGCTTACAAACTATTAATGTATTTATATTGTTGAGTAGAAAATTAGCAAGGACTCTTTCTTAGAAGGGACATAACATTATATACTCCACTAACCTTGAACTTGAAGCTGCTGGTCCGAAGTTGATGGTACAATATCAAGAGGATGTGAAGTTGTAATAACAGCAGAGGTTGAAGTAGTTGGAGGAACATGAAACATGACGTTGTTGTTGTTGTAAGAAGTGATTTGATGACTTGTAGTAGCGTAAGGTTGTGGCTGCTGCAACATATTCATCATCATTTCTTCATCTTCTTTCTCACTCAAGTGTTGTTGATGATGAGTTCCATAACTAGCATTACCATTTATGATCTCGCTCAAGAGATATCCAGTACATGAGTCCACCGTTGGATGAGCCGGTTTCTGTTGCTCAATCATATAATCGGAGAGAAACCCTAATTGGGATGAGGCGGTGATACCTTCAAACGCTCCGAGGGTGGAATCCGGGAAAAGAAACGCAGGCTCCGATGGAAACATCCCCATCATTTGACTACCACTCAAAGGGAGACTAGTGTTCTCCTTGTCATTGGTTTTGTGGAGCTTGGTAGCCTTGGAGGAAGATGATGAGGAAGAAGATGAAGAGGGAAGAGGCTGAGGTTGAGGCTGCGGCTGCTGTTGGGGTTGAGGGAGAGAGTTTTTATGGAGGAGGCGGAGTTTGTGTTTGCTACGAGACTTGCGGTTTTGGAACCAATAGAAGACGCTAGCGTCACTAACCTGGCCGTATTCTTGAAGTTGAGCCCTAATCCTTGGAATCTCCTCTCTCGGTGGATTCACCATCCCTGAGTTGAAGACTGCTTCAAGTATCCGAATCTGCTCTGGCTTCGGATTCCACCTTAGTTTTGGCTCTGGCATCCCCTCCACCTCACACCCTTTAACAAATAAAATCTCATTTGATTAAAATTCTCTATAACAAAGTTACTCACAAAATTATCAGGAAGTTTTGGGTTTCAATTGCTAGATACATATGTAAAAGTTTCAAGGACCTGTGAAGGGAGATCGATGGGAAGCAGAAGAAGGCAGGAGAGGAGAGTTGATTTCCTGTTGCCATTGATGGTGATGAGGTTTGGACTTAAACATGCTTGGCCAGTGTCTGTTTGAGGAAGTCATAACTGATTTTAACACGATCCAAAGAAGACTGATGTATGTGTGTGCATATGAGGATGATTGATAGTGACTATGATGAGATGTGTCAGGACGGAGGAGGAGTAGAGGCCAGGAACAAAATGGCTGAGGGGAAGAAAATAAAAATGTGAATAGGGCAAAAGGTTAGGGCCTCTTTCTCTCCCTCTTATAGTCTCTCTTCACCTACCCAAACTCTCTACCTTTTTTTTTATTGGTCACTGAAAATTAATTAGAAACCCAACCTCTCGACCTATATCCTATATCCTATATTAATGTTATTTACTTAATTTAACATAGAGTGTACTCTCTCTCTCTCTGTATTTTTGTTATTTTCATCTGTATATGTTTAGAAAAGACAAACAAGTTCTTAAATACAGAATATCACTACTCTTGTTTTGGGATGCAAAAAGAATTAGAGTAGGCTCAATCCTACAAACAGAAAATATTCTAAATATAATAGAAAGATAACGTTTATTTGACACTAATATTATGAACTACACTAGCCAGAAAGTATGTTCGAATCGTATTCCTATAGGTCTTTGATCGGTTTTAGATTCCGAGGAGCAGATTGACATTATAGAATTGAATCCAATTTTCCTTGTCATGGTTTGAGTTACGATATAAGGATCCATGCAAGAAACTATGATTTGTCTTAGGTGTTATATTTGGTTAATTCTCTTCGTTGTATCCAGTTAGTGGCAAAATTTGTACTACAATATAGCAGCCATAAAAACTCAAAATGCTTTTAAAAATTACCAACATGATATCTATCTATACTATTATTTGAGTAGTGAATTTGCTTATTTGTCATATTCACCATGATTTTAACTTTAAAAAAAAATTAAGTTAGACTGCCTAAAGTTTGATATCTTTAATAAATAATTATATAATTCATTATTTAACTGATTACAAATTAAGATCTATTAAAATTATCTAAAATAAACACAAAACGTGTTTGAAAAGAAAATATAATTCCATGTATCTATTTTATGTATTTAAATCTTTCCTTATTGTTTTGTAATATGTATTATTATTTTCAAAATGATTTTTAACATTCGAAATCTCATATTAAAAGTTAGAATGGTTAATATCGTATAATAAATAAAAATAGAAATTACTTAAAAATAAAAATGAATTTAAAATTCATATACGGGATTAAAATTTATAGTAGTCAGAATTATTTCAAATCTAGAAATATCTATTAATCTAAAAACACAATTTCTATATATATTGTGTTGTTAATCAGAAAACATATTTTAATAAAAAGGTTAAAAGTTCAAAACCATAAACAGATCTATCTATTAATACTACTATTTGAAAAGTGAATTTTTAACTTTATTTTTCAAAGTCGGTATTAGTTTTGTTAAACTGAAAAGTAGAAAGGCAATTTTATTTTATAGTTATAATTTCTTATATATGAGTAGTTGTAAATTGTATTATTGCTTTACTTTTTTTTTACAACAATATGCTAAACTAAGAACGTGGTCCTGTCGGTTCGGAAAGCGAAACCGAAGGTAACTAATCGACATATAAAATAGTTGAAGGTGAACTTCTTGCACCTCGTGCAAACTTATCTGCCATTTGATTTTGTGCTCTCGGTATATGTCGAATTCGGAAGTTTGGGAAGAAAGTCTTAATACAATGAAATTCTTCCATGTATGTAGAAAATGCCAACCATTCATCAGGTGAGAACACCATCTTCACTAGTTGAGAACAATCTGTCACAAAATTTTATTATTTTGTTCTTCCAAATATACCACAAGATCTAAAGAAAATTACTAAGTCATCATTTTTTTGCGTCCTCCGAAAAAGATAATTCATATTAGTAAAAATTAAAGTAATCGGGAAAAAACTCGGTGAGGAAGGAATCCTAGACAAAACCCATGTTTGTAGGGCTGGCGGACATTCGAAAAGTAACATGGCTAATTAAATATTAGTTTAATTATATTTGATTAATTTTAAACCTTAAATTGAGTATCTAAAGTAAACCTACTATATAATCTACCATGGGAAATTTACTTTTATAAAAGGATATTTCTTTTATTTAGGGATCAATGGGTGTACTTTATGTATTTTTTTATGAAGAATCATGATACGCTTGTAAGAAATTAGATACATTTATTAATTAAATTAATACCATAGAATTTGGACAACATATAAAATTTTATTTTAGGGTATAAAGATAATTCTTATATATATATTGTACTGTTATCTTAAGAAATATTGTTTCAATTGTAAAGGTTAAAAATTAATTATCTTTAGACTTACCTTAATTTTTTACTAATCAATATAATTCACTTTAGAATTCACCTTGTGAAATACTGCTGATTATTGATTTCACCGATTTTAGTTATTTTAAAATATCTTAGAGATATCTATTTTTATACATTCTAAATCAGTAAGAATTCAGTTTTAAATATTAAATAAATTTTAAAAATATTTGAATGATTTAAATAACCAAACTTTATATATTTAGGCTTACTACCGGTAATAATAGGCAAACATTTTGTTATTCTGAGTTTTGTTTTTCTTATGTTACCAGAATTATTATTTTTCTTTAAGTTGAGATATAAGTAATTCCATGTTGTCTATGTTTTTCTGCTGAATATTAGTAAAATTTAATGTCACATGTTACAAAAAGTTGAATTATTTTCCCCAACAAGGGCGAAATTGAATATTTTGATAACTGGTGAATAAAAAACGAAAAAGAAACATAATGAGTATAATGTATACAAATATTTTGAAAAACAAATATCACGTTTGTGTTTCTATTTTTTTCTAAATGGAATAAAAATCATACATATTTTGAAAAAATATTTTTATCATATACATAAATATTTTTTGTTCAATTTAACCATTTTGAAAACATAAACAATAGTTTATAGTGCTTGAGTTAATATTTATATATTAATAAATATATCTAAGATAATTATGTTCACATGTAGGGATAAACACTTAGTTTAATAAGAAAACAATGTTAATATACCTCAAAGAAAATAATGTGAAATTTCCTAGGATATATTGAAATTGTTTTAGGGGTTATTTACCTTTAATGAATGTTTAAGTACTTTACGATGTGATGGTCTGCGAACATTTTAGTATTGGTGTCTAAGTATAAACTCTAGCTTAGTGAGAACCTTCGGATGCTAACTATATAAATTGTTAAATACTGAGTGTGAAAGCGGGATATCACATATAGTTATATATTTTTGGGGGTCAAATATATGTGTACACTTATATTAATTATAAAAATATACTAATAAAGTTATATTATGACTAAAACAGTAGATAGGACGAAACTTAAAGTAATCATAAATGCAATTAGGGGTGGGCACGGATCGGATATCCGGGTTTTTTAAGGTATTTGTGATTTGATTCGAATGTTACGGATATCTAATTTTTGTATTTGCTTTGCTTCGAAAAAATACGGATATCCGGAAAAACGGATATCCGGAAAATAAATAGATATTTGCGGATATTTACGAATATTTACGGATATCTCATCCATTTTAATTAGTACAAACAATGTTAAGATTTTGATACAAATTTGCTTTGCAAAAATATTTTTTTGCATGATATATAAAATAAAACTTAAAAGAACTAGTGAATTTATAGATTTTGTAATGTTTTAAAGTTTAAGTTACAATTATAATAACACAAAATTTAAGAAAAAAAATATAATTGTCAAAAATATTTTATCTCTTTTTATGTAATACTTTTATATAAGTAATAATTTGAATAGAATTGTTCAAAATCATGTGCTAAAATAATAATTATATAATTTTATACAATTAAAATTTTTAATATAATCAAAATATACATATATTTATATATTTACGGATCGGATCGGATCGGATATCCGCTTTCCAAAATTTTAATATTTGTGATTTGCTTCGATTTCAACGGATATTGAATTTTAGTATTTGCTTTGATTCGAAAGTTTACGGATATCCGGAATTTTCGGATCGAATCGAAACGAATAACGGATCGAATCAAATATAACGGATAAAATGCCCAGCCCTAAATGCAATCCATGCCTATCTTCCTTACAATTCTTGCACTGAAATCCAATCTGCTTCTGCAGTTCAAACATACGAACTCAAATTTCTTCACGAATTAAAGCAATAGACTATTTGAAAGAGATCCATGTTTGGTTTGAACTCTTATTTATCACTTTTATTATTTTCTCTTAGGACATCTCAAAAACATCAAAATTTTACTTCGGTCATAAAAATATCTATTAAATATAACAAAATGGCATAAATTATTCCGATTTTTCACTCTACCAATTCACTCTATTTATGTAGATCTTAATAAATATTTAATAACAGGTTAAGAGTCTTTTTAACAAACAATTTAAGATAAATCGTTATACTCCATATTTTATCTCTAAAATTTTTGAGGATTATAATTACTCCATCTGTTTCATTATAAGTGTCACTCAACAGTTGTGCACACGGATTAAAGAAATAATTAATTTTACATATTTCCTATATAAAAACACAATTACCTATACACCTAACCCTATTTTAACCAATAGAAAAACTAAGTACATAATAAAATTAATAAATTTTGCATTGAAAACCGAAAACGACACTTATTTTGTAACGCAAAAAAATCGTATGGATGTGTTTATAATGTGTCTGGAAACCGATAATGACACTTAATATGAAACGGAGGAGTAGTATTTTATTATAACGTGTCTGGAATCCGTATGGATGTGTTTATGCTTGGTTATCTTACTAGAAGAACATCATTTCCAAGAAAAAAACATTCTTATATATATTGTAAAATAAAGGGTTATTATATGGATTTTCCGATGGTCAATATCGATCATCTTTGGGTTTGGCCTTAACTTTGGAGGGGAGAGGGTTAACTTTTTGGATGTGGAAATAGTGATAATATATGAACAAAGAGGTTGTGTGAGGAAAAAAATACGAATTTTTGAGTGGTCATGATGGGCGGTGGTGGTATAGTAATTGCAA